ACCCTATCCTCCATAGGGTGGCGACACAGTTCCCAAAAGAGACCTCACGTGCTCGACAGACGCAGGCTGCCGAGAAATCCCTCGAGCATTCCTCGCAAGGAACCTATCCACAAGCACGATACGGGGAAACCCTCGAGTGCCCCACGAGGAGCTGCATCTCTTGCCCGGATACGGGGCCCCGCAACGGAAGCGACCTAAGATCAAGTCATGGCTCCTAACTCAAGGAACCACAACTTGGAGGGCTCCTGTTCTGGACTGGGTCGGGCTGGCCCAAGAGCAACGATAAAGGCCCAATCCAAACGGACTTGCTAGGGGTCACGCCGACCTAAGGACCATAGCTATGCCCGACATACGTCACTGGGGCGACATCCTCGACCTCGTACTATCCAGCTCGACCTCAGCTCGAGCACTCCTCCAACAGCGGACACGGCCCACTACACTCTCAACGGGACCCCGAAAAGACCGCGTCCTTGTCCGCCCGCACTTCACGCAGGACATCCAGGAAGGGGACCACGTGCGGGTCCCCACTACCCACGTAGAACCTGGCAGTTCCTCCATTGGGCCAAACCTACCCGGCCCAATGAAGGAACCTTGGCCCAACGCTGAGGGCTATAAATACCCTCTGTTCCCAGAGGGTCAGGGATTCATCTATCACATATACTCACTTTTCCTGCTCGTACTCTTACTTAATTCAGCATCGGAGTGCCTTGCAGGTACCCCCCCCCCCCCCACCTCGTTCAAAACTTCAGCTTGGAGCCAGCCGTGACGGTCCAAGTCTGATCAGGTTAGATCAAAATCTAAGTAGGCTTGAAGGAAGCCAAAGTCCAGTCGAAGCTTGGGAAATCGAAGCAAGCTTGAAGAAATCCAAAGTCCAATCAAAGCTTGGGAAATTGAAGCAAGCTTGAAGGAGGCCAAAGTCCAGTCGAAGCTTGGGAAATCTAAACAAGCTTGAAGGAGGCCAAAGTCCAGTCGAAGCTTGGGAAATTGAAGCAAGCTTGCTCTTTTTCGATTTGATGCTTGAAAGCCCAATATGATCCATGGAAACTATATGGGGCATCAAAAATCTAATTGTACTTGTGCAAACTCGAACTTTTGAAAATCCTTGTGAGAAAATGTCTTGAGAAAAGAGAGGGCAAATTTTGGGCAACAACACTCGCCTAGAACGGCTTGGACGAAGCGCCTTCGCCCGGAGAAGCATACTGCTCGCCTGACGAGGTAACGCAAACATGAATCCTCCTATGCGTTTTTTGCACCACACTAGTCCTAAATTCTTATGATTCCAACACATTACAGGTCTTAATTCATCATAACTTAACATAGTTTCATTATACAATAACAACAATATCTATTATACATCATCTACATCAATTCATTGCAAAACAACATCACAATTTCACCAATTCTCATCAAATCATCATATCAACATCATCAACCAAACCCCAACATAAATCTACAGTTATCTAAGCCCTATATCAATCATAATAGCAATGATAAACTCCCACTACCTTATATTCCTAGTAGCAATATATTCCTTTTCCCATTCTACATAAATCCATTTGCTCTCTTCCAGCCCTAGCTATGATGTGTTATTCCAACTCTTTTAACGACTGCACATAATGCCACATTCTCCCCTCTATCTTATTTAACCCTTGGACCCTTTCTATGGTCTTACCATCTTGTCCTTATTTATCATTTCACCAATTACTATCTTGTCCTTATTATTTCTACACCTCGTATTATTCTATTTTTTTACTAATTAAAGTAATCATAAATAATTACTCTAATCATCTAAAATTATTTAAAACACCCAATACTATTTAATTCCTACTATACCACATAACAACACATCATACTTCATATTCATCAAACATCACAAATACATCACAAATATCCATCATAATTAATTAAATAATTAAATAAGTAATCTAATTAATTTGGGGTGTTACAACTCTCTCCCACTTGAAATAATTTTCGCCCTCGAAAATTACCTGGCGGAAACAAAATCGGATAAGACTTTATCATCTGATCCTCGCATTCCCAAGTCTAACTTTCACCAGCTGATCCACCCCCACAATACATTCACTAAGGCGATGTCCTTACCTCGCAATTGCTTCACTTGCCGTCCTTCTATTCGCACGGGCAATGCTTCAAAAATTAGACTATCTCCACCTGTACATCATCCATTTGAATTATATGCAAAGGATCCGAAATATATTTTCTCAACTGAGACACATAAAGCACGTCATGAAGATTCACAAGTGACAGTGGTAAAGTAGTATGATAAGCCACTTCACCTATCTTTTTTTAATATCTGATATGGACCAACAAATCGCGGCGTAAGCTTTCTCGACTTCAAAGCTCCACCAACACTAGCCACTGGAGTAACTCTTAAAAACACATGACCATCTTTTTGGAATGCAAGTGTCTTTCTCCTCTTATCATGATAACTCTTCTGACGACTCTGAGAAGTTTTCATCCTCTCTTAAATCATCTTTATATTTTCAGTCGTCTCTTGCACAATCTCAGGTCGGAGTACAACATTCTTGCCCGACTCATACCAACACAATAGACGTATAAGCCTTTAGTGCTCCTTGGTTATACGTCCATCTCATAGCCCGAGGAAGTCCACAATCGTTAGTTGGGACCTGACACTCTTCTATTTTACCAATGGTACAAAAATACTTGTGTATTTAAGACAATTACAACATTAATATTATCATTAATAAACAAATAAGGACATAAGTCATTTAAAAAGAATGGATAAAACAACTTACTAGTAAGACCCATGATACTAATATCTAAATCAGACAACTTCAATGCAAGACCTCTGAGAGATTGGGTGGACTAGACAACTTTAATGCAAGACCTTTGATACTAATTTTTTTTCCTATTTTCCTCAACTCACTATATAGTACCGAACAAGTTCAAAACAAAATGAGAAAAAAAAATACAATAACCCATATACTAAATATTTTACCAGAAGAGATGGCATAAACACGCAATATCGAAAAATTGAAGGAGATTGCATAAGTGAGAAAATAGCTTTCAAAATGCTACAAATTGCAGAAAGAAGAATAAATAACCCTTAAATTCTTTATATTCCTAAAGAAATGCTCAATAGGCCATCTATCAAACTCGCAAAGAAGGTCCAATAGAAAACACTAAAAAGGAATTCACACTGAATATGTGAACCATCATTTCTACCAAGGATACGTGATCGCATCCTCCGTCATACCTCTTACCAATGATATCTAATCGAACTGTCATCCGCACAAGGCGCTAGATCACACGACAACAGTTCTAACTGCATATACTATGTAAAGATCAAACCGCGTTATGTCAGATATTCAATCCATTCTCATTCTCATATTATTTTTCACCCAATAACTGACTTGGATGTTAGATTACTAACACTGTAGATCTTTCTCCTCTTCGTCGTATCAGAACTTGCTCCATTGCTTTAAGATCCTTTTATACAATTCCACATTTTATTTCTAATTCTTGAACAAACCACTAATAATTAATCAGTGCTTCCTTCGATCTTTTTTAATTGTCACATTTGTGAAAATTTTATATATTTTTTTAATTGTCAATTTCAAATTTCAAAGTAGTATTAATGATAGTTTTGTCAAAATTACTCTAATTATTTATTACATATAGAGAGAAAATAAGTTAAAATAATAAAAAATCAGGAGTATTATCAGTAAAAGAAAAATTATTACTTAATAACAATCATTAACTTTATTGGTATGTGTAAAAAGTAAAAAAAAAAACAATTAAAAAGGAACAAAGAGAAAAATTTTATCATTATAAAAAAATTAAAAATGTTTAAAAATCTATAAATTTTTATTTATTTGTTTATGATTTTTTATTAATATTTTTTTTAATTAAATTTTAGTTCACTTAACTGCTACTAAAACATGTTATTAAATAAAAAAAATGATCTTTACAATTGACACAGTTAATTAATATTTAAAAAATACATAATTTAAAAAAAAAAATTAAAATGAAATAGAGGAAGTATTAAATATTGTATGAGTATCATCAAATACTATTGTTCCCGAGTCCCAACACAATAATGCCAAGTAAACAAAGTCAAGAAAAATCATAAAAATAATACTGTAAAATATAAAAGACCGACATCCTTTTTATTATAAAATAAAATATTAGGAAATCAGAAAAAGTAGAACTACCTACTGCTACTAGTATGCAGAAGAAACAAATGAATTTTTTTCTGACAAAGGTTAACGGCTCTCACGCTTTAATGTCATGTGTCATTAGTTGTATTAAAAAATATAAAATATATTTAAATTAAAACAATAGATAAAAAATAAAAAAATATAATAAAATTATAATTATTAATGTTTATAGAAATTTAATATTTTTTTAAATCACATATAAAATATTTAACTTTATAAAATATTTTAGATTAACAGTACACTACTTTAAATTCAAAATAAATTTGATGTATACAAAACTTACGTAATAGTGTGTTAGTAGAATATATATTGTTGAAAAACACAAAAAGCAAAAAGAATGGGTGGCCAAAGAAAAAGAGGAAATAATGAAAGAAAAACGTGAAAAGAGGGAACAACTAATTACTTAGCCACACTTGGTTACATACTATGGTTTAGTTGAAGCTATAGTTAAAGTTGTTAAAATCAGAAATTTGACCTATTATTGCATGCCATTCATTGTTCCTTTTTTAACTCCATTACTACTGCTTCTTCACTCTTTCTCTCAGTTTCCATTCTTTCTTTCAATCACACAAGAAACAAACAAAACGTAACTAACTAACTCTCTTTATCCCATTCTTTTCTTTTCTTTTCTTTTCTCTCTCTCTCTCTCAGATCTGCTTCTCTCTTTTCGATCTTTCATCGGAATTTCTGTTTAGGTAAACGACTTAATTAACTGTTTATCATCGAATTAATCGCTTATTTTTAAAGCTATTTTAGTGTATTGTCTTTTTTTATACAGATAATCGATTATTTTACCCGAGGATGAAGAATAATGAAGGAAAATCGGTAGATAAGAGCAGGATTGTTCCTGTTTCGATCATATTTGTGGTGCTTTGTGGACTTTCTTTCTATATGGGAGTACTGTTTGGTTCCGAGAATGATAGATTTGCATCGATTATCAGTCAGAGAACCATTGCTTTCCGGAAGGAATCGTCATCGTCGATAAGTTCTTTGAAAATTAACGATACCAGTTTTCCTGAATGTAGTATTGATTATCAAGATTTCACTCCATGTACAGACCCGATGGTAATATGAATTTAGTTTTCCATTTTGTTATTTCCTAGGATTTGTAGAAGAAAGTTTTGTTAGTGTGTGTTTTTGGTTATGCGGTGAGAATTATTGATTCCGAGTGAATTGATTTTGTAGAATTGATTCCGGTTAAAAGTGAGCCGGATGTAAAGTGATTTATGTTTAGATATATTTATGTAAAAGTGATTTTGTATTAATGATTAGTTCGTGTTTGGATTGGCGACCTTATCGATTGGCATAGGCGTTTGTGAGACTATTTAGGAGCTCTGTAGCACTGACAAATCTGGAAAAAATTGTGTCCGTGTCCGTGTTGTTTTCCGAAATCAGCATTGACATTTGTGATTATATTTAATTTATTATTTTTTTCAAATTATTACCGGTTTCGATGTGTTAGTGTCAGGTGTCGGGTTTCTGATATCCGTACTTCATGGTTTAGAAGGAAACATTTTATGACATGAGTGTCCATATGCTATTTTATTTATTTCTGTGTATTTCCATAAGCACTCCATGATAGCTTATAAGAACAGCTTATAACTTATATAAAAGTAGTGGGCGTTTATTTTATTTATTTTTATAGAAATAACTTATATATAAGCGTTTACATGATAAGTGTTTATGCTATAAGTGTTCATTTTTAGTTGTTTATACAGTTAGGGTCTAATATGGTTAATTTTACAGAGATGGAAGAAGTATGGATCCTATCGGTACATTATGTTGGAGCGTCATTGCCCTCCGATTTTTGAGAGGAAAAAATGTTTGGTTCCTCCCCCGGATGGATACAAACCTCCAATCAGATGGCCAAAGAGCAGAGATGAATGTTGGTACAGGTATAATATATGCGTTACGAGTTACAACAAGTCAAAATATAAGACTGATATTGTTCAAGTTTCGTGCAATGGATATTTGGCTACTTCATTATGTTTGTTGTTTTATGGGTTTTCAGGAATGTTCCATTTGACTGGATTAATGAGCAGAAGTCCAATCAACATTGGTTGAGAAAGGAGGGGGAGAAATTCTTCTTTCCCGGCGGGGGTACTATGTTCCCGAATGGTGTTGGTAAATATGTTGATTTAATGGAAGATTTGATCCCAGAAATGAAAGATGGGACTATTCGAACTGCCATCGATACTGGTTGTGGGGTGAGTCTTACATCTCTGTATGTTTTTATCAGTGTTGTCAATTGGAGATCACAGAAAATAGCGGTTTGTTCAAATTCTGCGACCAGTATAGCACCACTTCAACTGCTATTTGACATAACTTTAGATTAAATTACATATTGTGGAGCAATAGTTGTTTGTTCAAATTCCTCTATGTATAGCACTATAGCCGCTATTTGACACAATCAGTTTTAATGTAGGGAATAGCCTAGCAAGTTAAAGTTTTCCTTTCTTAACAACCATGTTCTAGTTCAATTATATGTACTGCAGCTTGTAGTTGTGCTTTCCTAACTGCAATGGAAACAAATTTCAAAAACACAGTTAATTTCAGTTGCAATTTTCAATCACATGATAGGCAAAAGAGATACATTGATTAATCCACATAACTCTTGTTCATTTTAGGTTGCTAGCTGGGGCGGTGACTTGCTGGACCGTGGGATTCTTACTGTTTCTCTTGCTCCTAGAGATAACCATCAAGCTCAGGTTCAATTCGCTTTGGAACGGGGTCTCCCTGCAATTCTGGGTGTCCTTGCTTTACACAGACTTCCATTCCCGTCAAATTCCTTTGATATGGCTCATTGCTCCAGATGTCTCATTCCATGGACAGACTTTGGTACTTCTTCTATGGATTTTGCGCTTTTAGATCAATCAAATATAATTTATTGTTTTTATTAAACATTTACCCATGATCATGAACTTTACTGGTTTTGAAGCTTCTTAAACTATGAAATTCAAATTGCAATATTTTACTAGGCGGAGTTTATCTTCTCGAAATACACCGGATTCTTCGTCCTGGAGGATTTTGGGTCTTGTCCGGTCCACCAATAAACTATGAGCGCAGGTGGCGTGGATGGGACACAACAATCGAAGAACAAAAATCAAATTTCGAGAAATTGCAGGAGTTGCTGACTTCATTGTGTTTTGAATTGTATAATAAAAAAGGCGACATTGCCGTATGGCAGAAGTCTCGAGATAGTGTTTGCTATAAAAACCGGACCAAAGATGCTTATCCGCCCAAATGTGATGACAGCCTCGAAGCAGATTCAGCATGGTATACTCCAATTCGTACTTGTTTTTTGATTCCAGATCCAAAATTTCAGAAATTAGGTCTGAAATCGATTTCAAAATGGCCTGACCGATTGCATACTACACCCGAACGCATTTCAATGGTTCATAGTGGGAGTGCATTATCATTCAAAAATGACAATAGTAAGTGGAAGAAGCACATTACGCACTACAAGAAGTTAATACCTGAGCTTGGGACTGACAAGATAAGAAATGTCATGGATATGAATACATTATATGGAGGTTTTGCTGCTGCCTTGATTGATGATCCTGTATGGGTTATGAATGTGGTCTCATCTTATGCTCCCAATACGCTCCCTGTGATTTATGATCGAGGCCTCATTGGAACATTCCATGACTGGTAATTTTGAAATAGGAATTATGGCATGGAATTTTTATTTATGAATATACTTTGGTCTTATAAATGATCTTTTGTTGATTTGATTTTTATTTTGACAGGTGTGAAGCATTTTCGACGTATCCTCGGACATATGACCTACTTCATCTTGCAGGACTCTTCACTGCAGAAAGCCACAGGTGACATTATAATATGTAGATTATTTGTTTTTTTGTCACTCAAAGTAAGGACTAAAATGAACATTACAACTACAAATTTCAATATGAACAAATTTGTGCGTGACAAACTGAGCTAGTGATGCTATTTGTTTCAGTTACTTGTATTTCAATATGAACAAATTTGTGCGTGGCAAACTGAGCTAGTGATGCTATTTGTTTCAGTTACTTGTATTTCTGGCTGGTTCATTTTAACAATGATTATTACTTAACAGATGTGAAATGAAGTATGTATTGCTGGAAATGGATCGAATTTTACGACCTGACGGGTATGCTATCATACGTGAGTCGAGTTACTTTTTGGACGCTCTTACAACCATTGCCAAGGGTATACGATGGGAGTGTCGTAAAGAAGATACCGAGCAGGGGGGTGATGCGGAGAAGATATTGATATGCAAGAAAAAGCTATGGTATTCATCTATCAAAGTTTCAAGATGACAAACTAAGGCCAGTAATAGATTGATTCATATATTTCGAAATATATATTCATGCATGAATCAATATAGTTTATAGAGTACATTGGTAACCCAATAATATGATTTATTACTATAGAGTTTTCACATATACAGAGAGAGAGAGAGAGAGAGAGGGTGCGAGGAGTTAGACAGATTTTTACGTCATCAATGTAGCTGAATTGCTTCGTTTTGTCCCTCTTTTTGGAACCAAAGAAATAGTTCAATATCAGTTGAATGCAGATGAAGAAATGAAAGTCTTAAGTCCCATAGAAAGAGTGTGATTTCCCTTAGAGTGCTGCCATTTCAAGAGCAGTGATAGTTAGAAATTGTTTTGCTGAGTAATCTCTTGTATTAGTTTTGATCATGATAAGCATGTGCTTATCACCTATGCTTGGTATTGTTTGTCAAAGATTGTTTTATAGTAAAGTTGGTTAATGTTGTACTGTGTTAATGGATGATATCAATGGATACAAATGTTACTGTGTTGTGGGGAGGAGACAAATTCTCCGGAGACCATAAAATGAATAATCTTGGGAGCTACTTGGTTAGCCACACTAGGCCCACATGTGGCTGATTATGTCTCAACTTTGTATTATTAGCAACTTTGTTGTACGCCTACAGTCTAGTCTGTCTTCAACTCACTGGTTTACCACCTAAAAAACAACAAGAGTACAAGGCTATGCAATCACTCTGGTAGAGGGGTCCAAGTCACTTACAGTATTCACATGGCCAAAATCAACAAATGGAAGAAAAAAAATCGAAAACAAAATGCTGCAGCCATCATGCACGTCTTTTTTCATCTCCCAGTTTGCTAGTAAAAGTGAAAGATTGGCACGTGGAGAAATTGGACAGAGTATTGAGCTCTTAATTCAATAGTAACTTTTAAGGATAGTTTCTTTATACCAAGTACCGACTATGGATGTAGATGAACTACTTGATGGTTTTTTGGCGTAAATATTTTTCTAAACTAAGGTTTGGTTTCTATATCAAATAAAAGATGTCTTTAGAACTCAACATGATGTCTGATTATGCCATTTGTCTTCACTACATAGCAACTTTCCAATCCAACTATGATGTCTAATTATGCCATTTGTCTTCACTACTAGTATTAATTTAAGAACCCGCGGTAGAATATGAGTATGATTATAATGTATTTTGTATATTTTAATTAACAAAAAATAAATAATTTATTCATAGAATTATATAATATAATAATTGATAGGTTTAAATGGTAATATTATGGAGTAATTTAATGTATTAATAAAAATATTTTAACACAACATTGAATTTACAGCTAAATTTTTGCTTGATATTATTTTAACGTATTAATTATAACTTTTTAGTTACAATAAGATGAAAACTTTAATTAAAATTTGTATTATAAAAATTTCTATTAAGTATACTAGGATGACAAATATTATATAATTAGAAAACGAAATTTTATGATGACTAATAAATATAAATCAATTATAAATTTATATGTTTTATAAATTATATGTTAAATTTATAATGTGTTAGTGAACTTTCTTTTTTTATATTGTCAAATTATATTTTCTTAATCTTTATTTGTATTATTAAAAAATTAGTAGAAGACTCGTGCGACGCACGAGTAAGTTCATTCATATTTTAGATCATTTAATATACTTTAGTTGTTGATATATGATTATTATTATAAAATCATTAATAAGTGTAAATATTATAATATAAATATGTAGTAAATCATCAACGTACAAATCTAATATGACTAATAACTATAAATACTTACAACTATTTTGTTGATTAAAATACAAAAAAGATATTATGCTGATAGTGACCCGTGAAAATATGAACATTTTTTTGTTGCAATAATCAGGTATTGAAAAACAAATACACAAATAATCATGTTTCGGAAAAAATTAAGCAAATAACCATGTTTCAGAAAACCCCATAAAGGAGGAGCCAACTCAGTTGGCACATGCACCTAAAACTAAAGAGGAGGCGCTATCTCACTTGACGTCTAAGTGTTAAATAGTTGCCCTAAGCCATCTGAGATGGTGCCTAGGTGCAATAGATGTGCGATTTTTTTGCTTTTTATTTTAAATGCAAGACAATAGGTAAACGATATAGCTTTACAAAAATTTGACTTTTCATTTACAAAAAACGATTACATAATTAAAAAAAATCATACAAAATAATTAGTGGTCCCCCAGAACTCGGTAACGACCCGTGGTTCCGCATCCGCGTCCTCGCCTGTATCGTGGTGGGTTTCATCGTATTTCCTATTGTGACAGGGTCGATGGCCCAGTGAAGTCAATGTAATCGGGATCCATGAAATCAGTCAGATCACCATATCTGGAAGATTCACTTTGGTAGAATCGGTTACTCATGCCCTCAAAGTTTAATCATCTTGGTGGTGGATGGGATTCCATGGATGGTCTATAGCACTGGTCGTCTTGGGGTGTTTGGTATTGCGACTGTTGGGTGCTATGATGATGTGGTGGTTGATAGTAAGTTAGGTCGGTTGGGTCACATTCTTCGGAAAATCCCAGATCAGGGCTAAAGTTAGATGTTGAGGGGCCCATATTGGGATATGGAGAAGACTGGAATTGTGTGTGGGGCATGCAGGTGTATTGGTATTGTGATTGAGATTGTGGTTGGATATGAGGCATATGGGGGTATTGGTATTGAGGTGATGATTGTGGTTGGATTTTGGGCATATGGGTGTATTCGTATTGTGGTGGTGATTGTGGTTGGATGATTGTGGATCTGTATCATCAGGGTGGTTGATGGGAGGTTGATGTGTGTTGGGTTTGTTGTTGGAGATTGGAGGGTTGTGCCCATTGTGTTCATGGGTCAACCAAATACCTCGAATGAGGCATGTGCATTTCTGGGTTACTAACCGATATGTACCAAGCAAAATATTGATCTGTGTGTCGCATATTATTCCGGTTGAGGAAAACAGAGAATTGCAAGACATGTTGGTGACGCCTATACCACATCTTACACCATTCTGGAGAAAAATCTTTCCAATTAGTAAGATTCCATTGGACGTCGATCCTTTTGAGATGCCAGGGGGACAAACAAGTTGGATCGCAGAGTATCTCTTGATGTATTCCAAACTGCATCTTGACACGGTCGTTGTGGTGCATCTCCACAATGTTGAACCGTATGATTGCAGTCTTTGTGGTCCAAACTGCTACATCCTCGGGGTTTGGTTCATGGTCCAAACCCAAATGTGGTCTTCAGATAAATTATGGATAAAACTAAATCAACATAATGAAAATGTAATACATAAATAATTTAAAAGTAGAAAAGTTCAAAGGTACGACGTACATCATCCGGGCCAAGGTGATCCAATAGATTATGATATAAAGCGACATTGAATCTTGGATTCTTGTCGTAATCCATACCTGTCACCCAGTACCTAAAGGAATTATAAAATAGTTTATTTTAAACATATATTTGGCGAACAAATGAATAATAAATTATTTAAGTTCTTGACTTACTTTGTTGCTTATGGGAAAACGAATGCGTTGTTGTTGACGGGGTTTAGGGACTCCATTCTCCACCAACCCCAGGCTTGGAGTAAGAAAGCGCATCCATAAAAAATATATTTTTCCTTTGTTGTATTTTTACAGAAAGAACTGTATAGATGAGCTAAAACAGCAGAACCCCAACTATACTTTCTAGTTTTTTCAAAGTTCCTAAGTAAATTTAAATACATAAAATTTACACTATTCCCCGTACTTTCGGGAAATAAAAAGGTTCCAAATAGTATCATCATATAATTTCTAGCTTTTATTACTCTTGCTAGCTCGAAGGAATTTTCATTCAACTCCAGAGTCGCATAATGTTTTTTGAGTTCAGTAAGTAATATACCTTGGCCTCTAGCACCACCACATTCAACCATATCTTTGCCCAACAATTACTCGCATAGAGAATTGGGTTGTTGAACCGACCCGTTAACCACCTTACCATCGATAAGGAGACCCAACAACATGTACACGTCCTCTAGTGTGATGGTACATTCACCTATTGGTAGATGGAATGTGTGTGTCTCGGGTCTCCACCTTTCCAACATTGCAAGTATAAACTTTGAATCAATTGTGCAGTTGAAGATTTTTATAACATTTTCAAAACCCACATATTCGAGATAGGGCACGATCAAACACTCAAACACTCAAACCTTCAAACATTCAAACACAATGACCTCTACACCATAATATGTTATCAATGCACATTTCAACGGTGAGACATACATTTATCCCACCTATGGGTTTTTGTTTAGAGACACTAAGAACATCTGATTTTGTTTAAACGGGAAAGTCAATTTCTTGTATTTCAAAAAATGATTGGAGGTCAAACTTGGACGAGGTCCCGTGAAACAACTCTTCTATCAAAATCCGTTTTTTAGAGTATTCTGGGTACGACTCTATTGAGTTGTACATTGTGTTGCGGGAGCCTTAACTGTCACGACCAACTCAGTCAGAAGGGGTTGATCCTCTCGAAGACGAACAAGCAGAAGTATATGTAGTTGACGAAGAATGGGAAGATGACGAGTTAGAGTTTGACGACATGGTCAACGATGATTCTGAATACAATGGGATACCTGTTATACCTTCGAATGAGATCTACACACCACCTCCACACATGACAAACTTCAACATGGACGGAGATAAACCGTCATCTGATGTTTTTTTCAATCCGTATATGCAGTCAGATGAAAACTTAAAAGAGAAAGACAAATTTCATAATAGAGAAGATTGTATCTGAGCCATAAAAAAGTTTCACATGCTAAACTCAGTTGATTTTAAGGTAGATCGTGTAAATCTAGAACGGTACAGGCTCAGGTGTGTTCATGCAAATTGTATGTTCAAGCTCACTGCATCATACATATTAAGAGATGATTGTTGGGTGATAGGTTCTATGTCCACCCACACGTGTGTCAATTCTACACAATCACATGATCATCGGAAACTAAATTATGATCTCATATGTCAAGAA